GATGAACTAGGTATTTTAATTTTTTTTTTACAGATCGTGCACTTTACCAGAGTAGGTTTCAATTTTTCGAAATAATTCCACAACTTGCTGCGTTTTTTTCTCGGTGTTGTCCTGTAATACAGATTGTCTGACACCAAATGTTGTACAGCGATTGCATCAAAAAGCGTTTGCAGAATTTTTCACAAAGATCATAAAGAGGCATGCTTTACTTATTAGGATGTATGTTTATACGGATATATAGTTAAAATTTGCATAATTATCGGATCCCGTACAGATCTTCAAACATGTTTAAAAAAAAGGTAATAAACGCACCAGGTGTATATGCACATTTATGATCAAAATTGTATATAAATATTATATGGATGCCCCGATAAAAACTTTTATTCACTCAATTTTCTCTAGCTACTGATTCTTTTATCATTACATTTATTTTATAATTTTTAGTATTTTAATAATTTTTTGATTGTGTACTTACTCATCTTGACTCTGGATTCTTGTGGAATGTCTTCGTAAATGTACTCGTAATGTTTTAAAATCTGTTAAGAAGGATAATGTTTCGCCGCAATTATTGCATTTTGCCTTATATCCCGGTAACTCCGAGTAATATTGTTTTAAGTCGTCAGGTAGTGAGAGAGTGTCATTGTCGAGAAATATTCCATGTCTACTTAAGTGCCTTCTCATTACGTTTGTGTAGTTTCCTGGGCTAGGTACCTTAATTTCTCTTTTACAGGTCATGCACTTTACTAGCAAAGGTTTCAATTTCTTGAAATAATTCCAACACTTGCTGCGTTTTCTTTTCGGTGCCATTATAACCGTCCTGTAATATAGATTGTCTGATACTAAATGTAGTACAGCAATTGCATCAACGAGCGTTTGTAGAATTTCTTACAAAGGTCATAAAGACACATTTAATTTAGTAGAATGTATGTTTATACGAATATATAGTTAAAATTTGCACAAGTATCAGATTGCGTACAGATCTTCAAACATATATTTAAAAAAAAGGTAAAAAACGCACTAGGTGTATGTACATTGTACATGCACATTTATGATCAAAATTGCATATAAATATTATATGGATGCCCCGATAAAAACCTTTATTTACTCCATTTTGTTTAGCTACTGATTGTTTTATCATTACACATTTATTTGATAATTTTTAGTATTTTAATAATTTTTTGATTGTGTACTTACTCATCTCGACTCAGGATTCTTGTGGAATGTCTTCGTAAATGTATTTGTAATGTTTTAAAATCTGTTAAGAAGGATAATGTTTTGCCGCAATTATTGCATTTTGCCTTATATCCCGGTAACTCCGAGTAATATTGTTTTAAGTCGTCAGGTAGTGAGAGAGAGTCATTGTCGAGAAATATTCCATGTCTACTTAAGTGCCTTCTCATTACGTTTGTGTAGTTTCTTGGGCTAGATACCTTAATTTCTCTTTTACAGGTCGTGCACTTTACTAGCAAAGGTTTCAATTCCTTGAAATAATTCCACAACTTGCTGCGTTTTTTTCTTGGTGCTATAACTGATGTTCTGTAATACACATTGTCTGATATTAAATGTGGTACAGTGATTGCCTCAACAAGCGTTTGTAGAATTTTTCACAAAGGTCAAATAGAAGTATGATTTTTTTTATTAGAGTAAATATTTATAATGATATATATTTTAAATTTTTCTAATTACCAGATGACGTACGAATCTACAAAAGTTACATTTTTCTAAAAAGAGAAAATAACGCCAATGACCAAATACACGTGCTCTATATAAACTCATTATTAACAAAATTTTTTAAATAATATTTGATGTTATAAT